TGCAAACTGTGGAGCATGCAGACACTGTGACCACTGGTGTTTGCTCATGGGAAAGACACTGCAGGCCACAGGCTTGGGGAGAAGCAGAGTTGGGGTTCTGCTCATGAACTCAAAGTGTTCTTCACCTTGGATGGGGGGAAGAGGAAAGCAGGAGAAAGAGAGAGAGTGAGAGAGAGAGAGAACCAGAGAGAGAGAGAGAGAGAGAGAGAGAGAGAGAGAGACAGAGAGAGAACCAAAGAACCTAGGTTAAGAGGAAGAAGAGGCTGGGTTCTGGAGGCCAGCCTCCTGGCTGTGGGTCGGGCTGTGAGGTAATGGTTTAGACCCTTCTCTCCCCTGTTGATCCCCCCCGGGGGGGCTCTTTCTGCCTCATGGGTCAGCCTAAGTGCACTGAGGGCCACCGTCTCTACAGGGTCAACTTTCGAGCCACAGTGGTGGCCACATCCAGGATGGCACAGGGTTTGGGTTTCCTGGACAACGAGGGGAGGCGAGGATGCTTCATGCTGCACCTAGTGATGTGGCCTGAACCATGTCTACAGTAGATCCCGTGGGTGGGATGAGGAGGCACATACCTGGCCCCTTCAGGATTTGGTTTGGGTCCGCGGCTGAGAATGTGAAAGGACAGGATTTGAAAGTCCTCTTCAGACTCCCTGGCTATGAGGTGCCTGGGGTTGGGGGTGGGAGTGGGGCTGGAGTAGTCCTGTGTCACTCCTCAGCAGACGACCTGAGCACTCTGCCCGTGAAGGCGCTACTCCAGGAGGCTCAGGGGAGGCGTGTTCCCTCTGAGCTGGCCTCCTCCACCAGAGACCCAGTGAGGGAAGGAAAACAGGGCAGGAAACACCTTGGGGCTCCTGGGGGCGGGGCTTCTGGGCACAGGATGATGTGTCTCTATTGTCCACAGTCATGTTTGTGGTTCACTTAATGCTGCAGAGGTCGGAACCTTGTGCTGCTAGTGTGGCACTGGACATTCATTCACACAGTCACAGGACAAAGGCCTCCTCCAAGGGCACGCCCCCTCAACCTGCCCCACTCAGTATAACCTGGTAGACAGCTCACCTCTGTATGCAGCTGGGAAACAGAGCCCAATGCCCCATCTACCTAGATCTCTCTAGAAACAGCCACCCCTTTCCAGAGCTCAGCTTATTAAATGGAACCTGACCATGTGGGTGACTGGCCTGTCACTTTTGCAGGGAAGCCAACCAGGCTCCCAGACTCAGCTGGCTTTCTGTGATCGCCTACAGCGAGCTGGACACTCATGTGTTCAGGTCCCTTTGGTGTTGAGTCACCTGTGGTGGCAGGTGGTGCTAGAGGTTTATAACGCATTTAGCTTCTGTGAGTATCTGATTTTTACTGGGCCAGAGGCCTCCTGAAGACCAAAGACTTTCCCATGCCCAGGCAGGAATCCTCTAGCCCAGGATGCTGTGCTGAATGGAGAGGACATGGGAGGATGAAAGTCATTTGGATTAACAAAGGGCTTTTCTGGCCTCAGCTTTCAGACCCCCCAACTGTATCACCATAGAGTTGTCCTACCTATATCCAGATGGAAACGTGGACCTCAAGTAACCCAAATGTCCTGGTTATGTCACAGAAGTGTCTGAATTCCTTTTACACTCTTGCAAACTCAACAGAAACAGTGTGCTCACAGGAAGCAGCCTTTGAGACTGAACTTCCCTGTCCAGGCAGGCAAAGGTGCAGGTGGCCCTGCAGACGAGCTCTGCCCCAGATTGGCTGAAGCTGTTGGACCTTCTTTCCTCTACTGACCTACGAGATGGCCCTGGGGATCGTCAGCCCTCAGAATTCTTACATGTCTAGAAAACTGAGAAGAATCCTGTAGACGGCAAACAGAACGGTGTGAGCAAAGCTATCATCATGTCCAGTGAGCTGAGCCACCACTCTGTGACACTCAGCAGGCCATGTTTCCGCAAAAACAAAGATGGCCCCAATCCTGAGCTCCACCACCTGTGCCCCCTCAGTTCTGAACAGAGGTGGTGCTGTTTGTGAAGCACATTAGCGTAGTAAGTGCACGCAGCCTCTCTGCAGCTCCCGAAATGGTTTTTGACCTAGAACTAGCTCAGAACTACTGTCCTGTGAGAGGTACAGCCCAGCCTTGCAGAGTCACACATGGCAAGCAGGGGCTCTTGGGATTATTTGGGAGTGATTTCCTGTCTAAAGAGGAAGGACTCGGGCTAGGAAGATGGCTCAGTGGTTAAAGCACTTACCATACAAGTATAAGTACCAGAGTTTGGATCCCCATAACCCATGTAAATGCCAGGTGGCTGCCCTAGGTAGACAGGTGTGTGTGTGTGTGTGTGTGTGTCTGTGTATGTGTCTGTGTGTGTGTGTGTGTGTGTGTGTCTGTGTCTGTCTCTCTGTGTGTGTGTGTCTGTGTATGTGTCTGTGTGTGTGTGTGTGTGTGTGTGTCTGTGTCTGTGTCTCTGTGTGTGTGTGTCTGTGTATGTGTCTGTGTGTGTGTGTGTGTGTCCTGTCTGTCCATCTATGTGGAAACCAGGGGTCAATCTTGTGTGTCATCCTCAGGAGCTGTCTGCCTTGTTTCTGGAGACAGGATCTCCCACTTCTTCTAGAACTCACTAATTCACCTAGGCTGCCTGGCCAGTGAGCCCCAGGGATTGACCTCCCCAGCACTGAGATTACAAGTGTGTGCCTACCTGGCTTTGTCTATGTGGGTTCTGGGGGGTCACACCAAGGTCCTTGTGTTTGTGTGGTAAGTGCTTTACCACTGAGTCATTGCCCAGCTCCTCTAGGGCCACTTTTAATGTTCACCAATCAATCCCAAAATATGTCTGATTTTCTTTTAAAGAAAAGCATGTTTTAAAGAAAAAATTTTAAAAAGCCAGGCATGATGGCACATACCTTTAATCCCAGTACTTGGGAGGCAGAGGCAGACATATTTTTGTGAGTTCAAGGCCAGCAAGTTCCAAGTCAACCACAGCTACATAAGGAGACCCTGTCTAGGAAAAAAAAGAAGTATGTTTCAGCATGTAGCTTCTAGTGGGGTCTCCAGTCATCTCCCTGCTTGGACCCTCTGACCCACAGTCATTCAAGCTGTTACCCTGGGGGCAATATCATGTTGAGTCAGCAAAGTGCTCAGTGATCGGCCTGGTGATTCCAGGTGGGTGGGCTGAAACCATGCCCTGTCCATGAAAGACCTTAATCCCAGCCTCTACTGTTTGGCTCCCAGGCTCTGACCGCAGGCATCATAGTCCACATGAACTCCCTCTCACTAGCACTATCACCTGTCACCCCAGCGTGGACCCTGCACTAGGGGCCAGCCCTGGGCACTGATACACAGAAAGCCCTGGATGGTGCCTAGGAACTTGCAGGAAAGGGTTTTCTCAGAACCCCAAGTATAAGGCTGCCCCCAGGAGCATCATGACCATGTGTGGACCCTACCTGGCTTCCACCCAGCTGGTGGCCATTTCAGTGACCTGTCTCTAGCCTTGGGCAGCTTCTGGCTCATAGGCTCTCAGAGTGCCCAACTTTGAGAGAAAGCAGTCAAAAGTGAGGTTTGCTCACAAGTAACCCTGACTCCACTCTGGATGGATGGTGCATGCAGTATCGAGCAGGAGCCTGGCATTTAGTGCTCCTTCGATGATGTCACACAGGGCGCTGGGGTATACATCGCCAAGCATCTGGCCCCAAGTGGCAGAGCTCTGTCTGATAAGCCTGCAGAGCAGAGAGCTCGGCCTTGTGCAAAGAGAGCCTCTGCCATCCCTGGCTCTTCTGCACATCTGTCTGCCCCTGCTCTTCTGTCTGTCCACTGAAGGCAGGCATAGGTCGGGTCAGCTGGAAACTGGTTCTTGGGGTTCCTTGTCGAGCCCCCTCACATATCTCTTGACTCTCCAGTGCTGTCACACAGGGCCTGGGTCCCTGTGCAGTGCAGTGTGGAGGTTCCCCCAACCCCCCCTCCCCTTGTTCCTGGGCCCTTTTCCCACTGGGATGACTCTCAGCCTCCTGGGGTGACAGCTGACAGCCACTCTCCTCTCTAATGAGTCTGTCCAGGGCTTCCTGGCTCTCACTTCCACATCTCACTGCCTCACTCAAACAAGACCCTAGGGAGTCCCTGTCCAAATTAAGGTGACACCTGGTAACAGGTTGGGATGTTCAGGTGTGTCATCTGCAAAAGCCAGGACAGTGGCAGGGAAAACACTCCCTTGGGCCCGAGCTCTTGCAAACATGAAGATTCGGTGGCCAGCAGAGCCTGGGGAGAGTCTAAAACAAGGGGCCAGGAAGGCTCCCCTCATGTCCCTGACTCGCAAGGTCCTTGCAGACACTACGCATAGGAGTTAAAGTGGTAGTGGCGAGGGCGAGGTCTGATTGACACTACGCCAAGCAGTGTTTCTGAGTTGGGCATCCTTATCGCTGAACCAGTTGCTTCCATTTGTCATTTAGAGCACATGTCAGTGGTCTGATATGGCTTCATTTGGGATGTGTAGCCCACCTCCCCATAAAGCTCTTGACAGACATTTGATGTGCTTGTAGGGTGACAAGCTTTCAGTTATTCATAGTGGTTAATAAACTGTATGTAACTAATTTGCATTTATATAAGCATATAAGGTGTTTGGATACAATTTCCAAATTGTCAGTAGAGGCACATGTACAGGCATGGGGGAGGCAGCCGGCCACTGGTCCCTCCAGAGTAGGCTCTGTCCACATGAGGCCTGGCTTCCTCCTTCTGAAGTAAAAACGCTGGATCTTCTTAGGTACTGTTCAGACAAGAGCTTTGAAAAGCCTGCCACCACACCATGGTCCACAGTCATCAGTTATAGTGTCTGAGATCAGTCTGAGAAGCAGACAGTTAGTATAAAACACACCAGGTCTGTTTTCCGGCCTAGAATGTAGACTTTCTCCTTTGTAATTCCCCGTGGGAGACTCTGACCTCGGCACCAGCCCTGTGGTTGGGCGTGGGCGTGTGTTTGTAGGCATCACGCTGGAGGTCAAACAAAAGGAGTGGTTAAAAAATGAGTCTGATCTGCTTTCTGCAGGATACAAGACCCTTCTGAAAGGAATTTCTGGGAAATTCAACAGTGGAGAGCTGGTGGCCATCATGGGTCCTTCCGGGGCCGGGAAGTCCACGCTTATGAACATTCTTGCGGGATACAGGTGAGCCACAAGACAGAAGAGGCAGCGACTGTCACTGCACCTGTGGGGTAAGGGGTGGAGCTGCAGTCCTGCTGGGAGCTTTCTGTGGGCTACCTGGGAGCTGCCGGAAGCTTCACTCACAGTGACTCCAGGGATGAAGTGTGAGTGTGTGTATGTGTGTGTGTGCTTGCATGTGTTTATGTGTGAGAATGTGTGTTTGCTTGCATGTGTTTATGCATGTACATGATTGTACATGTGTATGTGTTTATATGTGTGAGCGTGTGTGGGTATGTTGCATGTTTGCATGTTAGCATCCAGAGCTTTGGAATCCATGAAGGTCACAGAGACTAGGGACGATGGTTCTGGAAGGACACAGAGACTAGGGACGATGATCCTGGAAGGCTGCCTCTGCTGACGGCTGCACAGGAAGTGGAGAGCAGCCCCAGAGCTGGACAAGGGAGCATCCCTGGTGAGCTCAGCCCTACAAGGCCGCGGTCCGGGAGATGGCAGGAGGAGGGAGCCGGCCGGAAGACCTACTGACGGGTGGGACAGGGATGTCAGAAGAGAATGGGGAGCCCTGGACCATGGCTTGTGGTCTCTGTAGTTGTTCAGGACTTTGGAGATGCCGTTCCCAAGGTCACACCAAGGTCACTCGTCTGTGAGTAACGGTAACACTGAGCCTATAGGATGTTTGAGAAAGGCTTTCTGGAGGCTGCTTCAGTTCTCACAGGCTTTCACCTGAGGACTGCAGCAGCAACAATCCAGGCCTTACGCAGTAGGTAACCCGTAGTTAACCATGTTCCCGAATACCAAAATCCCATCCTAAACCATTCATATTGTGGTGGCACATCTTCTTGGGGATTTATGATGAAATCGCGTGCCACCCACTTCGTTCCACCTGTACCCACCCTCTATGCCCTACCTGCCCATTAGCGATCTCCTAACTGTCTGGTTATCAGATTGGCTGTGGCGATACAGGAATGCTGTGTTCAGGGGACCCTTATTTTACTAAATAATCTCCCCAAAGTGCAAGAGTAAGGATGTTGACAGTCCATCACACACAGCACATTATTATACTTGTTCCATTTCATAAATCATTGTTAATCTCTTACCCCGCTTAATTTATAAATTAAGCTTTATCACACATAGTATAGGAAAAACATAGTCTATATAGTGTTTAGTATTTTCTGGTCTCAGGATCCTCTTAGTAAGAACACATACTCCCGACCTCCTCACCTGTGGTCAGAAGGAATTCCTCCCTTGTACCAGGACCATCCAGTTGACGAATGGCTCCTGCTGGGGCCCTATCTCCAAGCCTCCTGAGTCCAAGGCACCTGTTGGGTCTGTCACAGCCCCGGCTGCAGCATCTGTGACTGTGGGACAGTCTCTGTGATCTGGGCTGCAGATGGAGGGGCTCAGAAGCCCAACTTAAAGCTACAAAGCCAGGGATGAGCATTCCCAGCTCATGGCTGCTCTGAGGGGCATCCCCAGGCATCTTTGTGCAATAGGCAAAGAAAAGCAGCCATTTCCACCTGGTGTAAACATGCCACTGGGGAGAGGCCTGGTGTATGGCTTCTCTCCCTGCTGACCACTCGCTCCCAGCAGAGTTCCAGTGTGCTGTTCTGGCTCTCTGGTCCCTCTGCCCTTCCTGTCTCCATGGTGAATAGTTCTTCAGGGAAGAGCGCAGGAGAGAGGGAGACTTCCTCCCTCGTTCCCCTCTCCAAGCCTCCTGAAGGTGGGATGCAGGAGCCGGGCTAACTGCCACCTTTCTCCTTGGTTTTGCAGGGAAACGGGCATGAAGGGGGCGGTCCTCATCAACGGCATGCCCCGGGACCTGCGCTGCTTCCGGAAGGTGTCCTGCTACATCATGCAAGACGACATGCTACTGCCCCACCTCACCGTGCAGGAGGCCATGATGGTGAGCCGCCACCCAGCATGCCGGGCATCTCTGCCCCAGGCTGTCCGCACCACACACACGGCACTGCACGCAGTCACATATGGCCCCCTCTTTCCAGAAGAGGTGCTGCCCCAGGCTTGCTGCTTGGGCTGCTGCGTAAACATGAGCCCCAAGAGTTTTCATAGACCTTGTTTGGCAAAGTCATGATCAGGTTTCTGAGATTATTGTTCCCGGATATGGATGGCTTGTTTCCATGACGATCACATTCCTGTTTTCCCCTGGCTCAACAGCTTCCCTTCCATCAGCTGGCCTTGACTTATTCTGTCTTTGGTGGAGCGCCAACTCCTCCGGTGCCCTGGCGAGAGCTCTGGGAGTCTCATCTGACTCATGACAGGTGAAGGGCAGAGTCAAGGATTGTTGAACACCCTCCAGGTCCAGGCCCTGCCTACAGCTCCACAGAGTCAAGTGCTGTGCAATCTCTGGGGAGCAGGGATAAGACAGAGCCTGCAGGAGTTAAAACACAAGGGCAGGCCTCAGGCCAGCCAACACTATGCGGGGACTTTGATGCAGAACTCTGACTCCGAAAGGTCTCTGAGCTTCACCGCTGAGCCCCACCTCCCTCCATGCAGTTATCTTAGCTCCTAAACCATGATGTCCTCCTCTCTGAGGCCAGGTCAGCCGGAATAGTGGGTGGGGGAGCGCAGGAAGCAGGAACCACGACCTCGGGGCTCATGGTTACTCTTACAGCTATGCCATGACTTTTCCACTCTCTTGGTGTCTTCCCATGAGACCCCAGTGCATAAGGCCAGGGGGAGTGTCAAAGCTCCTTCACCCTGGGGCTTTGCTAGTGTCCAAGTGGTTTCCAGAACAGTTGGGCTATGCTCTTTGAATGACTAAACCACGTCCCCACCAATATGGACTTGGGGATTCTAGGACCATTTATTTAAAAAGGCCCAGTCCACATGACAGCCCTCACTGATTTGGTGTGGGCAGTAGAACTCTCCAGAATGCCTCTCATGAAGGTGGGATTTGAAAAGCAGCACTTGCTCTGGTTGGAAGCTTCTGCTGATCATGGCTCGCTCCTGGCTGGTGGCCCTCTCCCTTCTCAGTGTGGTTGCACAGTCCCCAGTACAACTGTGTTCCTCTTCGTCCTGAAGAGGACGTCGCCAGCCACTCTGCACTTTGCTTAGTAGATGAGATACTCACATTGGTATCCCCATCTGGCGAGGTCTTGCCTTGCGTTCCTGGCTTGGATTGGGCAGAGCTTCCTCCCTGTGGTGACAGAGAGTGGCTGTCACACATTTTGTGTGATTCCAAAGGATTCTTAGCTCAGTAAAGAAAAGTGGGTTAAGATTTCAGATATGTGATCTGCTCCCCAACCTGTTTTGAGGGGAAACAGAAAGGGAGGGCCTGGTAGGGCTACCCTCATTCTTCTGCCTGGTACTGGGGGTTCTGTAGGTAAGGGGACACCTGTCTGCCACCCAGCCTCCCTGAACAGTGGATACAAGGAGCCCTGCTTGCTTCCCTGGTCTCTAATGGAGCTGTAGTGGGCTCAGAGGACTCAGGAGGATCTGCACACAGGCCAGGGCAGGCAGCCTGCTGGGGGCTTTTCATGGACTTGGCATTGGCCCACCTCTGTGGATCCCTGGGTGACAGTCCCCGTTAGCCTGAGTGCAGCCTTTGTCGCTGCCGTACCACGTGGTTGCTTGTGGAGAACCATCGCTTTGACCCCAGCTCCTTTGTCTTTTGTGACGACCCCCACGTCTGCCCCAGAAATCCCTGTGAAACACATCTGTTTTCAGAATTCAGTTAGATCCTGACTTGGGAGGGTTCATGACACCTTTGATTAATGCTTCTCTCGTGGGGCTGCCCTACCTCCTGTGCCCCATGGATCCTGTGTCCCATGAATTTTGTGTCCCATAGATCCTGTGTCCCATGGGTCCTGTGTCCCATGGATTTTGTGTCCCACGGGTCCTGTATCCCATGGATTTGTGTCCCATGGATCCTGTGTCCCATGGATTTTGTGTCCCATGGATCCTGTGTCCCATGAATTTGTGTCCCATGGGTCCTGTGTCCCATGGATTTTGTGTCCCATGGATTTGTGTCCCATGGGCCCTGTGTCCCATGGATTTTGTGTCCCACGGATCCTCTGTCCCACGGATCCTGTGTCCCAGGGATTTTGTGTCCCATAGGTCCTGTGTCTCATAGGTCCTGTCCCTCAGCCACCAGATGCTGACCTCATAACAATATGGTTGCACATTTTACAAGTACCACTTCTGACTCTTGCATCCATCAGGCAGGCTAAGAAGTGACACCCACTATCACAAGCCCTGCACAAGTGACTTAGGCCTGTTCCTGTCCACTCTGAGGTCCCGGGCCTCCTCAGATCACTCCCCTCTTCTCAGTCTCTGATCTGACCCTCAGCAACCTCACTGATTAATGAGGTGGATTTTTATGTGCTGGTTTTTATGGGGCCCAGGGGTGCCAAGGACAGATCCTGGTAAGAACCGAACCAAGACCTGGGCCTGGTGATTCTTTCTTGGGGTGTGCTGGTAAACAGAATCTCAGCAAATGAGCCATGAAACACATCCTGCTGTAACATGCCTGTCCATCTCTGTGTGCAGACCTTTCCAGCATGATAGCTTCAAGTCAGCAATGCTTGTCCCCTGGTTTGTGGAGGTTCTGAATGCACGTGTCATGGTCCCTACCCAGGCAGAGCATCAAACCCTGCCTTGGCTGTGCTGCCCACACTTGAACCATCTCATGGGGAGAGGCAGGAAGTTCATGGAGCTGACCAGAAACACAGCAGACCCATCCTGCTCTCCAACAACCATGTGTGATTTTGGGTTGTGGTGTAGTTCTAGACCATGTATGGCTCTGAATCAGCTGTGGCCCTGGGCTGTAGTTTGGCCCTGGACCATGTGTGGCCCTGGGTCATGGTGGGGCCCTAGGTCATGGTGGGTCCCTGGACCGTGTGTGGCCCTGGGTCATGGTGTGGCCTTGTGTCACAGTGTGGTCCTGGGTCATGGAGGAGTCGTGGGTCATGGTGGGGCCACCCTGGTGAAGCCCCGTGAGGCGGGTCTTACCGACAGCACCTGAGCACCGCCTTCGTCATCCATAGGTGTCGGCACATCTGAAGCTGCAGGAAAAGGATGAAGGCAGACGGGAGATGGTGAGTGTGGCGCCGTCCTGAGACACACGTGGTCCAGAGCGCATGGGAAGCTGGTATGGGGAGTGTGGGCGCTTAGTCCTTGGTTCTGGCTCTTGTCTGTTGACTTTTCTTACCTCTCTTTTGGTGTGTGCGGGAAGGGGGCATCTGAGCATGCTGTAGGCTACGGTGGGTGGAGACCAAGAGAGATGGTTCTGGGGCTGGGGTGGTGTTGACTTTCAGGTCCAGAGTTGCCAGCCTTGGCCCCTGATGGCCAGAGTGTGCTGACTTCAAGGTTAGACCAAGGCCCCCATGGTGCTTAATACACTTTAAACAATTTTTTAATGAAACACTGACAGTGGAAATGGTTAGTCACTGGTTTAAAAATAATTCCCTTCCACCCACACACTCTTGCAAGGAGAAATTAGATTCTTATGTGTTATTAACCAGCCTTTTAAAAAGAAAACAAATCCATTTCCAGCACATCTGAGACTTTTCTCCTTTTTATCAGGTTTTCTGGCTCTTTGAGCCTCCGGAAGTAGGGCAGGGTTTACCTAAGCAGACCCAGCAGGGGCCCCAGGAGACCACCTGGAGAGGATAACCCATCCATACTTACACACCATCAGAGGGAAGCTCGGCCTGTCTCCTCCTTCTCCTCCCTAGCCTGGGATGCTCAGCAGTCCAGGAAGTGGGGCGGATAGGATAGTGCCAGGGATAGGCCCCCAGGTAGCTGGGTATTCGTGGTTTCATGTGAGATGGAATGTTTAGTTGGTCATCACTAAACATGGAAGGAAATATGGGTCAGGATTCTGTTCATGGTGCTTTTCCCTCTGCTGCCTGGAGTGGCTCAATACTGTGTGAATCCAGTCAGCTCACTATGAAAAGCAGCACTGAGCCTCCTGAGGGTTCCACCCTCCCCCTCCCCAAGGACTCTCATGCTCTTGGGATTCCCTGTCTGTGGTAGTGGGGACAGAGATTGAGGTGTGGGGGTGGGGGAGACTCACTTCTGTCGTGGAAGCAACTCTCTGTTGTTTCCTGTGGAAATCTTTTAGTCTGAGATTAAAGGGAAGATCACGAATCAATTGCACCCAGAACCGAGAAGGTGTGGACAGCACCAGGCCACGTGTGCCCATCCCTCCACTGAGGCAGAACGGGGTTTGTGCATCATGTAGGGTGAGCTTTGAGAGCCTCTGTGACCTTCAGTGTCTTCTGCATAGGAAGACACTACCCCGACACCTCCCCTCAGCTGTGTCTGAGAGTGAAGAGGCTTAGGGGCTGAACCCCCAGAAGGATGTGCCAAAATTCAACCCAGGTATTGACAGGATGGTTGCAGGGGTGATTGAGGTAAGATGAGATCATTGCAGTGACCCTGATGCAGTCTCACTGAGTCCTTATAAGAAGAGGAGATCAGGACACAGACACTCAGAGGGATGACCTTTGAGGACCCTGGGAAAATGTGCCATCTGCAAACCAAGGAGAGAGACCAGTTCTACCCACACCTTGATCATGGCCTTCCAGTCACCAGAACTCCAACATGGTATTTCCAGTGTCTCTCCCTCAGTGTGGGGTACTTTTTCATGGCAGCCTGAGCTGAGTCTAACTTATGCAGCTCTTAAGATGGCAAAAGAATGCCCTAGACAGGAGGATGGACAGAGAGAAAACCAAGTGTCAGAACACAGTGGGTCAAGGTGGGCCTGAGATGACCCACACCGATGAACAGAGCCCTCCTGTCCCTCATCTGAAGCCTGCTCTGGTAGTGGGGACAGAGATTGACCCCTGACCCCACAATCCTTCTTCCACAAGTGAAGAGGAAAGCCACCTGTGACAAGGGCAGGAGTGGGACTGGCAAGAGCAAGAGGTGCCTTGTGACCAGGGTCTTTCCTTCTGGCAAGTCTTTGTGGCTCCTGAATGATCAGACTGTGGGGACCCCAGAACCACCTCTCCTGCCCGGTCACCCCCATCCATTGCCCTCCTGGGCTCCATGAAGGTCCAAAGCCACCATTCAACCTCCATGATGCAGATGCCCTCCGGCAGGGCCAACAATTGCCACTGAGCAAAGTGACAGTGGGGACACTGAGCGAGCTCCGGAGTGGAGGCAGCTTGGGTGGGAGTGAGGAACAGGGCAGCTGGGGAAGGGGGTTTTGTCCCTGGGCTCAAACCGAAGGCTCTCACAGTGTGGGGATGAGCAGAGGGTACAGAGAGCGCCACAGTGAAGCTGAACCAAGCACACACGTGGCTTCTCCAGCCCTGGCCTCGCCCAAACTCCCTGGATAACCTGACCTTGTCCCCTACGTACTGGACCCCTGCTACCTTTTAGGCCATGTCAGCTGAGCTGGATGACAAGTCTTTAAGTCTCCAGGACCTGTGTAAGTATAGGGCAGAGGCTGGGGGCCACTTCCTAGCAGCTATGGCTCTGTGGCCAGCCTTCCCCCTTGTAGCTGGACTCCATGTGGCTAAATCCAGGCCTCTGAGCAGACAACCGTTGGGAGCCAGTCCCTTGGCTTCCCACACCAGCATTGCCTGTGATGCTGTTTGGCAACTTCAGAATTCAGCTTCCATTCCTCGTCCGGGCACTGGTCAGGGCCTAGGAGAAGCTAAGGAGACCCACAGTGCTGCTAGAAGACGGCATCTTGTTAGAGATCCTGGGAGCCTTCTGGAAGGAGTCGTGGCTGGGCCTTGGGACTCATAGGTGTACGCAACCTCCATCAACCTGGTCTAAGAAATGTCTCTGAAAGGGCCCGACCCAAACCTCCTCCCATCATGGTCTCAGTGTTGAGCCTCACAGTAAACCAGCCCTGCAGGACTACACGTGTCACCTGAGACCCTGCTCGCTCCGACCCTCTCCTTAGATCTACACAGCCCCTGCCTCCCGCCAAGGACCCAAAACAGGATCATCTCAAATAGGGCCACTGCTGCGTCTCCACCCTGACTCACTTCCCACCAGCCCCTGTGGCCCCACAGTGAAAGCTGTTTATAGCCTGTGGAAGAACAATAAAATGGAATGTTCTAGCACATCATGGAACGTGTTGTTCACAGCCTGGTTTCCCAGAAAACATCTTGGCTCTTGGGAGTCTTCTGGTGTGGCTGCTTCCTCAAGAGGGAGGTCACCATGGGCTTGCCTGGGCTACTGAGACTGTCCCTGGATGGCAGGCCCCAGGAAGACTTGAGTTACAAGTGGCCATAGGGATATTTTATTTTGGTTGCCTGTTTAGGGAAACATTATAAATAAGTGAGCCTGCTGTTTATTCTTTCTGATGACTTTTTAAAACAAAACCAACCTGTGTCACGTCATTCCTGAGTCAGAGCTGTGGAGAAAGCGGGCCAGGCCTGTGTGGTAGAGGCGTGGAGGTGTGGGCAGGAGGATAGCTACCAACTAGTGGCCTCTGTTTCCAGCCTTCCCTCCATGAGAGAGGATAGAAAAGGGGGCGCCACTCTGAATGGGATACCCCAGAGTAAATAACCCACCACCTTGCAGGATCAGCCAGCTGTTCTGACAGCCTGGGAGCCTCATCCTGGTAAAACCAGCACATGTATGTATAAGGAACAAAATGCCAGAAAGAGAGCCCTGTCCATTGTGGCCCTGCCTCGCTGGCCCTTCCCAGACAGCCACACTGAAGCTCTTCCCAGGTTGACACCCCTTGGAGGCACTGTGTTTTAGAAAGAGACAGTGGCACTGGGTTGAGGGCAAGAGCAAAGAGGCAGATCAGGACTTGAACCCAGATCTCTGGCTCCACTCTGCACCTGCTCCCAGCCCATCCTGGTTAGCTTCTGCCAGCAGAGCTGTACTTTGTACTGACCACACATGAATAATTCAGAAGTTCAGAGCGGAAATTTTCTTCTTGGGAGTACCTCCTACTTTTAGATGACTTCATCTCCTTAGAGAAGCCACTGGCCAAGGTCCTCCTGCTGTGGCCACCAGGGGCCGGCTGTCTCAGAGCTGTCCTGCCCCTGGGAGAGTTCTGGAGGGATCACTGAGGCCCCCAGGAGAGGAGTCTGGTCCAGCCTCTGCATCCTGAGGGTCTACTGGTCACTATAGCAAAAACTCACCCCACACTGGCCCTAGAACCCACTGACCTGCTCCCTGAGCCAACACTGGTCACCATCCTGGCGCAACTAGAGGACTCTGTACATAAAAAACGGTGTCTCCACCCTCAGCCCATACCCAGGAAGCCCTTTTAAAAACTGATGTAGAAATAAAGGCATTTCAAAAACAATCACAGTCACCCCAGGACCTAGGGCATAGGATAGCCCCTGTGTCAGTGACAGCACAGTCCTGTTCACTGCCTTGAGTCACTTTCCTGTGCACGGTTATGAGTGACCCTCTGAGAAGGCTGGCTCAAAGAACCCACAGGGGCTGGACTCACATGTTTCATGTGACATGAGAGGCTGCCAGGGACTTCATGTTTACCATGTGCCAAGTGTTCTTCCAGGTACTTTGCCATCATGTATTTAATGGTCAGTGACCCTTTGTGCTGGTCACAGACCTGATCAGCCATCCACTTACATGTCCATTAATCTATCCATTGATCAAATATTTATAGGACATTGACTCCATACCAGGCGCCGGGCTAAGCTTAGAGATGAAGGACAGTGCTGGGTCACCAGCCAGAGGCTGAGGGAAGACACCAGCTCTTGGTTCCAACTCCCACTTTATTTCTTGGCTCTTGACAATTATGTCTCTGGCTCCAGTCAGGATGACCGGCTTGGAGACAACATCTGCCACTCACATCGGTGGCCTGGGGCAGCCCAGCACTGAGGGCTTCTGTGTGTGGGCTGGCAAGGTGTGTCCCGCAGGGCAGGCCAGGGCATCCTGCAGGGCTCTGTCTGCACATGTTCCTGATAGCCATGAGGTTGGAAGTTTGATTTCCTAATGGAGACTCTGCTTCTACTGCCCACAGGTCAAGGAGATCCTAACAGCACTGGGCTTGCTGTCCTGTGCTAACACACGCACAGGGAGCCTTTCAGGAGGCCAGCGGAAGCGCCTGGCCATCGCGCTGGAACTGGTCAACAACCCTCCAGTCATGTTCTTTGATGAGCCCACCAGGTAAGTCCAGACCAGTCTGGACTGGTGACTGGGAAAGGACAGGGAAGAGTCCCTTCCAGAGACTGTGCTAAGGTTTTTACCTCATTGTGGTCCCAGAGCTGTAGAAACTGTCCTGCTCCTCTGGGATGGAAGGACAGGGGGGCTGGCTTACGTCTCTCACCCCTGCACAGGCATACATGTGCTCAGAGGGTCTGTGATACACACTAATATGCAAATATGGTTATGGGAAACAGCCTTTCATGGGGTCCATCTCTCCCTTGCTGAATCCCTGTGGCATAGCATCCTGAGGGCCAGTGCTGCAGGATGTTCAGAGAGAGAGGCCCGATGTCCCGTGTTTTGTAGCACAGGGTTTGTTAGCACTTTCTCCCACCTTGAATGACTCAGTGGCTCTCTGTGACCACAGGAGCCCTGAGTCCTGTTCTGGAAATGCCTGTGTACATTTGGGAACATGCTGGTCTAGAGTCCTGGCTCCAGAGTCTGCAGGCAGTGAATCAGCCCACCTTTTTCCTAAGCATGTTGTGTTCAGGAGTCCCCAACAGAGTAGGCTGACTGCACAGGGCTGTTCCTGAATGACTTCAGCCAGACTTGTCCATACCACCCCACTGTGCACTTACCTTTTGGATGCAAACTGAACTCCAAAGTAGTCTCCAGCATCACCGGGAGGAGCACATCTGCCTCAGCCCAGCTCAGTACCTGGCTCACAGTACTTAGGAGTGCCTCTGTACAGATATTTCAGAGGAGGCAAAGGTGACCACAAGAGCCCTCAGCATTATCTTTCACAGCTTTACTGCCCCGGGGGCAGAGTCGGTTCTCAGGGGCTGCCTGCTGGACCCAGGAGCTACCCAGTGGAAGGACAGGAACGAGATAGGGCTGGGGGTGCTAGGCAGGAGAGGAGAGAAGAGGGGCCAGGGTAGGACTGCCAGACACTGGCAAGGCCCCCAGCAAACCCCAGGATGCCACCTCCCCTTAAACAACTCCAACATAGTTAGGAAAAACTTCAGCAGGCTGTAGCCCAGGTGGTCCTCTCTCACAGCCCCAAAGTTAGAGAGACAGGGCACTGTGACTGCTGACCACCAGGCCTCACTGCTTACTTGGGAGCTCAGCTGTGTACTGAGGCAGTTCTGATGCCCTGAGCCAAGGCAGGTGGGGACCCCCCCATTGTGTTCTCATTTCTTCAGACCCTTGCTCTTCTCCGGCATTCTTGTGGGGAGTCACCATGCACAGCCCCCACTGAGGCTCCACCACTTGACAGTTACACAGGCTGAGCAGAGCCTGAGCTTGCATGGCATGGCTACAAGTCCTGTTCCAGGCCCTCCCTCAGCAGCGGCCTCTCAGTCTCCCAGGGTCTGGGGCAGTGGACTTGTTTCTGCCACTCCAGCATCTCACGGTGTCCTTGATTTGCAGCGGCCTGGACAGCGCCTCCTGCTTCCAAGTGGTGTCCTTGATGAAGGCGCTGGCCCAGGGCGGCCGGTCCATCGTTTGCACCATCCACCAGCCCAGTGCCAAGCTCTTTGAGCTCTTCGATCAGGTATGTGGGCCCTGGCCCTTGACCTAAATCTCCACCTCAGACTCCCACTCCAGACCCCTACTCAAGACCCCTGGCTAGACTAGGGCAGTCATGGAAAATCAGGCCCTACATCCTAACTCCTTTACTAGTCCCCAGGGTGATTAACTGACTGGCTGGTTGAATAACTGGTTTGACTGACCGACACACTGACTGACTGATGGATGGACAGATTCCCAACTGGCATTGGTTGGCTGATAACTGGCTGGCTGGCTGGCTGGCTGGCGGGTTGGCTGACTGACTACCAACTGACTGACAGACTGGGAACCTCCACTGCTTCACAGAGGCTGGTGTTGATGCCATTTCTTTCCTCCTCTCTCCCAGCTTTACGTCCTAAGTCAAGGACAGTGTGTTTACCGGGGGAAGGTCTCGAATCTTGTGCCATATTTGAGGGATTTGGGTCTGAACTGCCCCACCTACCACAACCCTGCAGACTTTGGTGAGTAGAGTCCTACCCAGCTGGAAGGAAAGGAACTCTTTCTTACTCTTGACGTTCTACCTCCATCTGATGCTGGAGTCTAGAATTGCTGCAGTATCCCACAAATGACTCAGGGGCATCCAGTGGGGGACCTTGTTGGAGACTTCAGGAGGTCTCTCTCTTCCAGGAGGACCTGCCTGATGCCTGGAAATGCCCTGGCCTTCCATGGCCTCACAATCCATCTCCCAGCTCTTACCTCTGTGAGGAGACCAATGTCCAAGATCCCAGCTCCCTGTAGTGACCCCACTCCTCAGGGACACTCGGAGGTCCCAGGTGGACAGTCCTCCTTGCTTTCCTCCACAGTCGTGTTTCTAAAACCTTGGACCAGATTTTCTTTTCATCTCCTAAACTGTGTCCAGGAAGAGCAGGCTCTGGGGAATGTTCCTCACCCAACCCACAAGAAGCAGACTGTGACAAAGATGTGGAGGGAGGACCAGAAGTAGATGAGTGAGAGAGCACCACTTGAAGGATCTGGGCATAGTTAAAAGCCCTGGGGAAGAGCTGCCTGGTAGTTAGCTGCTGACTCCTTAACAAGAGAGGAAGGGCCTGTTGAAGTGCTGTGAGGGAAGGGAAGTGGGAATCCAGAGGGCAGGACAGGCAGGAGGAGAACATGGAGGAAGACAAGAGGGAACCTGGTGAACTGGACTGTCTCACTGCCCCCTTGAGGAAAGGCAGGGGCTGCCGTGCTTAGGGGTGGCTGAGTAGTTCTGGGAGTTTGGAGGTGTGCCAAGCAGTGCATCTTGTTAGAACTGTAGCTGATGCTTTTCTAGGGGGTCCTAATGTGCTCTAGCTTAGAGCTTACAGGTTGGGAAAGGGGTTTCACCAAAGGGTGCAGGGGAGGAAGGGCCTTTGGTATCAGTAGTCTGGTATTGAGATGAGGGCTGTGCTGCCCAGGGAGGTGGAGGAGGAAGGAGGGGGAAGCTAGACTGGGGAACACACTGGTCTCTGGATAGTAGAGAGCTGCTGTCACCGTGGAGTGAGGACCAGTCAGCCACAGCAGCAGTAGTCAGGACATGGGGAACCTGGACCCAATAAGGGGGTCCAGGAGGGACAGAGGAAGCAAGGGAGGATGGTCAGGGGAGGAGCTGCTCCCTGGGATATGAGAGGCATGGGCTGTGGTCCATGGGTCCTCAGGGCAGTGGACCCCATGCCATATGGGCCTCCCTTCCCTGGGGGAGCGTCTGTTGCCTCCTACTCTCAGCGCTCCAGTGAGGAGCTGCTGGTTTCTGGCTCTAGTCGGTGCCAGCCCAGAGCATGCATTCGGTGGACGCTGGGCAAATGGTCATGCCATAGACACGTGAGCTCCTAGCTTCCTGGGTGAGCTGACCACAGGAAGCGTACCTTTGCAGTTCTGGTCCCCTGAGTCTGTGAGGGATTTGCCGGGGGTTGAGAGAGAACTCCAGTCAATCAGCAACTTGGCGATTGGTGCTGTGGCCCTCAATGGCACCAACGCTCATTTTAAAACATTCTCACCACAGTAATGACTTTCCTTTGCAAAGTGACAGAAACTCATGGTTCCCATCAGCGCTAGGGTGCCTCTTGCCAGGAGCCTTGGTCTGATCTCATCTTCTGTGTCCTCTCCAGTCATGGAGGTGGCATCAGGCGAGTACGGTGATCAGAACAGCCGGCTGGTGAGGGCCGTGAGGGAGGGCATGTGCGACTCTGACTACAAGAGAGACCTCGGGGGCGATGCTGATGTGAACCCATTTCTCTGGCACCGACCCTCTGAAGAGGTAAAGCAGGCAAAGCGATTGGAGGGGTCTGGGGAAAGGTCATGTGGGGCAGCCCGTGTGCTGGATGCACCTGCCTCGTGAGCACCCTCCCTCATCAAGGAAGGCATGGCGGGCAGGCGGGCAGCTCACCCACCCCCTTCTCCATGTGCTCCCAGGACTCTGCCTCCATGGAAGGCTGCCACAGCTTCTCCGCCAGCTGCCTCACCCAGTTCTGCATCCTCTTCAAAAGGACTTTCCTGAGCATCATGCGGGACTCGGTAAGGGTGACCTCAGTGTCCCCGATGGCCCTGGGAGTCCTCACTGCCTCCTGCCACTGGAAAGCTTTCAGGTTGCTTTCCCTCAGTGTGCATCAGTCAGCTGTCACTGCTGTGCAGCAGTAATAAAAGGCCCCAAGATGTCTGTGTCCATCAGAGCTGGTGTGTGTCTTGCTGGTGGTGTATCTGTGCTGTGGGCTGAGGTGGGCTTGGTCCCATCTGCTCTCACCCTGGGCCCCAAATGGAGGATAGCCCCTGTATGGACCTGTGTGAAAGTACCAAAGGGAGACTGAGGCTCCTGGTTAGAGGCACCAAATGGTCACTTGTGCTCACGTTTCATTGGCCAAAACAAGCCAAGTGGCCAAGGTGAGGGGGTCAAGGTAAGTTCATTCAAGGAAAGCTGGGCAGTCATACAGAGAGGAAGGCAGGGAATGAAGGAGACGTGATAACTCCCGTAGGTGCCCTGCCTGGCAGGCTACATGGTCAGTGTGGACACAGGGCCCTGTGTTGGAAGAGTCATAACTCACAATAAGTGCCGGGGGTTTGAACCAGTGACCCCCGCGCAGTGATGATTGGGGATGTGTAAGCACGCCGTTCACCAGCCCAACCTGCCCCCAGTACCAGGAACACTCAGGTGCAACGGGGAGCCTAGTCAAGCAGGAACTCATTTATTACAGATGTTACAGAGCTGATAAAGGCACCTGGAAATCCCCCTCCCCCCGAGGGTGTATCTTAAGGATGGTCATGCGCTGATCATGCACTCCTCAGCAGTGAGAAGTATCCTTCAGACTTTTAAAGCAAGTCAGGCTGTGCCCCAGTAACTTCCTCTCAGACCTCTACAAAGTGGGGCCTTTAGGTCCCCACAAATAAGGCTCATGGACATTGTAACCTGAACCAGAACTCTCAGTGAGAGCCTCTGGTATAGCCCATCCAGATGGATCATAAGATCTGCTGTGGGACTCGGGGTCCAATACCTCCAGAGGCCTTGGCCCTGTTCTCTGACTGCTGTGTGCACCGGATGAGACTCATGCCCACCCTCAGGTCCTGACACACCTGCGCATCACCTCGCACATCGGGATCGGCCTCCTCATCGGCCTGCTGTACCTGGGGATCGGGAATGAAGCCAAGAAGGTCCTGAGTAACTCCGGCTTCCTCTTCTTCTCCATGCTGTTCCTCATGTTCGCTGCCCTCATGCCTACCGTTCTGACCTGTGAGTGTGCCTTCCTCTCTAGCTGGGACTCCTACACACACCGGTTGACACCTGACCGGGGCTGGCTTTTCCAGACACACAGTATCTTGATGTTTCAAATTCTACCTTTATGTGTTAACAAAACGGGTTTTATTGTATTTACTGTTGGATAAGAAAATACTGTACTTGAGGGCTGTGGAGAAGGGTCAGTTGGTAAAGTGCTTGCCAGGCAAACCAAAAAAAGTTAAAAAAAAAAACAAAACCAGACATGTGGTGTGTGCTTGTAATCCCTTCCCAGTACAGGAGAGGCAAAAGCAGGTGGGTTCCTGGGTCTCGCTGGCCAGCCAGTCTTACCTACTCTAGGCCAGTAAGAGACCCTGTCTCCATAAAACAAGATAGATAGATGGTGTTACCTAAGGGATGACACCCAAAATTGACCTCTAGTTTCCACATAACATATCCACACGGGTTACAAACACATGGACTTGCATATGTGAAAACACACACACACACACACACACACACACAGAAAAAACTGTCTTTAGTCCAAATAATCAAATCTCAATGAATGGAAAGTGAGAAAACACAGCAGAAGGCAATGGAGGGAAATTTCCCGAAGTTAGCTACTCAGGAGACTGTTAAATGTTGCTGCTTAAGTGGTTTTGGCTGTTCAGATAACCTGGCTTGGCCAGATCTGGTCGGTTCACATGCAGTCCGCCTTCAGTCATCCTGGGCCACGCATGCAGAAATACAGTGTCCACTCCTGCCCCACAAGCCTGCCTCCCTGAGCCACCCTGAATTTCAGAGAGCAGTTTGCAGAAAGGGGTTGTGGTCAGGGAGCTGACGAACCCAGCAGGGACAGGGCTGGTTCGACCATTCCCACTGGTCACACGGACACGCTCCACTCTGGCTCTTCATGTGGTCACTTGTGTTAGTTACTTTTCTGTTGCTGTGTCATTTTGGCTCAGAGTTCCAGGGATAGAGTCCATCATGGTGGGGCAGGCAGGGAGTGCTGGTGGGAACAGGAAGCTGGCTGGTCTTGTTTTATCCTCACACAGGAAGAAGAGAGTGAGAACAGGAAGTGGGGTAAGGCTATGAACTGTCAAAAGGCTGCCTTCTGTGATGTAATTCCTCCAGCAAGTCTCCTAAAGGTTCCAAAACCTCCCCAAACAGCACCACCACCTGGGGACCAGGTGTTCAAATACGCATGTCTCCCTTTGAGGGACGTCTCTCACTCAAACTACCATACACTGTTTAAGTTAGAGATGTGCCTGGTGACAATTTTTCCAGAACAGTGAAACCCTTCCAACCTTTTGCTTAAAAATCTGAGTATTAGAGTGTTAGAGGTCCACACTGTGGCACAGGTCAGAGCTGCTGGGGCTCAGCCCGAGGTCATCTGCGGTGCATATCTGGCTTGCTGGCCATGCCCACTGGAGCCATCTCTGTTTTCCTGCCCTAGTTCCCCTAGAGATGAGTGTCTTCCTCCGGGAACACCTGAACTACTGGTACAGCCTGAAGGCTTACTACCTGGCCAAGACCATGGCTGACGTCCCCTTTCAGGTACGTGAGCCACGGGTGACTCAGACAAGGGGGTAAGAATTCTCCATACCCTACAGAGTGTATAGAACCTATTTCACCTCACGTTCTGCCGAGGAGCAAAGCAGGCAACCTTCCCTGATCTAAGGAGTCTGGTGGGAACTGGGGTCGAGACCCGAGAGGGCAACAGCTGCCTGCGAGCCAGGCAGAGCCCTGGGGTCACAGGCTCTATGTTTGCAGGTCATGTTCCCTGTGGCCTACTGCAGTATCGTATACTGGATGACGTCACAGCCATCGGATGCTGTGCGCTTTGTTCTGTTTGCTGCACTGGGTACCATGACCTCTCTCGTGGCCCAGTCCTTGGGCCTGCTGATTGGAGCTGCCTCCACGTCCCTACAGGTACCGGTCAAGGAGGTGCTGAGCGCTGGGCTCCCCTTCATGGCCTCAGTCTGGTGGGGCCCCGGCTGCTTCACTTGGTGACCCTCCCTCATAGCTCTGCCTTAAACATCCAGATGGCCTTACAAAGTGGTTCTCATGGGAAAGAATGGCATTGCCCTGGGTGGTCAGGCCTGGCCCTCTCACAGTGGTTGTTTGTACCCACCACACACCAAGCACATATACCACTCACACTACAAACACACACATACACCAAACATACTACACATGGCACATACACTATACACACACAGACATACACAATTCCCTCAGTGAATTGTTGCCACATAAGTCAAGAGCCACGTGTTTGTATCCAGATTCTCTGAGCCCACTCAGCTACTCGGGGTGAGAGCCTGTACCTGCCACACCTTGGAGAGGCTTCAGTCTCTCCCTCAGAGGCCGGCCAGTGAGGGCTGCTGCTTGCCAGCTATGTGCCTGGGGCTGTCCTTAGCTCTCAGGGGCAGCCTGAGGAGGGACGGCAGGACCCTAGGGGAGGAGCTTTCTAGTGGGTCCCCTGGGGCCCCTGCATCCTGGCTCTAGGACTGTCACAGCAGGTTGGTGACAGCCTTCCCACCTCTGGGTGAGGCTCTCAGAGAGGAGGCCCTGCTCCAAAGACAGGTACAAACTGTCCACTAAAGCCTCTCTGAGACCATTCCCAGAGGATGTTGGCCGTTGGCCTCTGCCCTCAGGGGATGCTGATCCTTTTGGCAGTCGCCCTCCTCAGCTGGGACCCCTGGACCCCTCTGCAGGAGGCCAGTCTTCAGGCTCTGCCAGGCGATGTTCTTGGTCACCATTTTGTTCCTGTCCTGCCCAGAAGACTCTGGCCCTTTGGGAACCCCTCCTTTTCAGTGGCTAGGGATGATCTCAGAGCTACCTGAGCAGGTAGAGTGTCCCCTGTCCCTCCAGTGAGTGCTGTGTATGTGCCCGCTCCATCCCCAGGTAGCGACGTTCGTGGGTCCCGTGACGGCCATTCCTGTCCTGCTCTTCTCTGGGTTCTTCGTCAGCTTTGACACTATCCCGACATACCTGCAGTGGATGTCCTACATCTCCTATGTCCGGTACCTGTGGGGAGCAGCGGAGGGGGAGGCTCGGGATACGCTGGCCCATTAGTAAAGGGGCACTTGCAAAGCCACTTCTCCTCTGGGTCCAGACAGTACCGGTATCTGTCTTTATATTCTTAGTTTTGTGTGCCTCACCGCCCCTGAGTACGTGCACACATTCTCTCCCTCCCTCCCTCCCTCCCTCTCTCTCCGCCCCCCCTCCCCTTCCCCCTTTCCCTCTCTCCCTGGAGAAGTTATGCACCCTCTTATTCTGGGTGTTTCCACGAGCTGCCTAGGTAAGGGTGTGTACAAAGTGCTGTTTCCAGATCCTGACTCTGAAGCATCCCAGGGTCTTGAGCGGCTCTGTGCACACTGGTCCTTCCCTGGGCAGGGTCTATCTGTGCACACTCGGCCTGCCACCTCTCATCCACCCCCAACTGCAGCCATGTCCATGTGTCACAAAGATCCAGGCTGGGAACAAGTGTTGCTTTTCTAGAATGTCAGTTCAGACCCTGCTATACCGTTCAGGAGGACAGGATGGACACAAAGTCCTTGTACAGCATCAGCCACTCATGTGCTTGCCAGTGCAGGGAAACCAGAGACCAGGCCTTTCTTCTAAAAACTGGTGCTTTTGTTCTGGCAAGACAAGGCTGGGCCAGAAAGGCTTTATCTAAATGCTCCAGCGTGCTTGCCAGGATATCCAGCCCCTGCTGGATCTAACGGTGGAAAAGTGTGCAAGGTCAGAAGAAATCCAAAAGTTGCTTTGATTCGTTTCCCACTGGAGGAACACCTACTGCGTTTGGGAGTTCACAAGTGGCTGTGGAGGATACAGGAATGGGAGCAGAGGGGCCAGGCAGCTCGGTGCACTGTCTTAGGAAGATATTATCAAATCAGGGAGCATTACAGGGGAGGGAGGAGGCGACGGAGAGTCGCAAAGTGACCTTTAGCAATGAGTGACCTTCACACCCGATGCCTTCCTCCCCAGATATGGCTTTGAGGGTGTCATCCTCTCCATCTACGGCCTGGACCGGGAGGATCTGCACTGTGACATCGATGAGACATGCCACTTCCAGAAGTCAGAGGCCATCCTGCGGGAGCTGGACGTGGAGAACGCCAAGCTGTACCTGGACTTCATCGTGCTGGGCGTCTTCTTCATCTCCCTCCGTCTCATTGCCTATTTCGTCCTAAGATACAAAATCCGGGCCGAGAGGTAAAACAGCCAGCGGCCAGCACGGAAGCAAAGCAGACGTTGTGGTCAAGGGCACTGCTGAGAGACGGCAGCACACCTATGCCCGGCGACACAGAGACTCTCCTGACCCAACCTGGAGGCCACGTCGGTCGGTGGTGACCAGTGTTCGGCTCCTCTGCCTGCCAGGCTAGACCTGCTTTCCATTCCCTTTTCTAGCTTTAACTAGGAAGATGTAGGAAGGCTGGGGGGTTTTATGTGAAGAATTTGAAACAACTGGGGCAGAATGTCACCCTGGACCCAGCTGGGGACACACGCTTCCTCAGAGAGATTCCTCGTGGAGTCCAGGGTGGGTTGGTCGCTGGGGAGGCCCATATCTTGGGGGACTCTGCCTGACGACTGTCTTTTCTCACAGTCTTTCTAAAGCTCATCTCATTTCTGATGAAGTCACTTTTGGAGCCAAAGTTGATAAATTTCATTCATTTTGAGAGATTGTATCTTTTTAGTACTTGTTGAGGAAGTGTTCAGGGTAAACTACATATTTTGCTTAGAGATAGAAGGGGTTCCACCTAGCCACTGAGTGGGGCTCGTAGGCAGATCCATGGAAGGAAATGCAGGCTGCAGGTGAGGGAAACCATAACACCAGCCGCACTGGGCCAACGGAGACCGCGAGCGACGTCTGCAGGGCTGAAGGGAAGCTGGTCAGCACTTTCCTTTCCATGTTTTCTTATCTTAAGCAAAACAGATGGATTCTTCCTAGCTTTCTGGTCACCTTCATTTTGCCAAGGAATGTGTAGAAGATCAACCTTGTCAATTTTTAAAGAGCATTTTCCCGTCACTTGTCACATCAACTACCTCCACTGAATCTGGAGGGGCCCGACCTGGGGACACTTCAGAGATGGCCTCGAGCACCTGTGAGGGGCCAGCCAGCCAGGTCCAAGGGGAAGTGCAGGTGGGTTTCCCCTTTAAGGGTCTTCCTTCCAGAGCACCACCGCCCTAGGATCTCCTGCAAAAGTCTGTGAGCAGATCGGCTAACCCCCTTGAGCCTGTTTCTTCTCTGTAAGAATTAAACTAGATAGTGTTCAAGGTTGTCGTCAGCTCTGACAGGTTCTAAGATGCCTTGGTTGTGGCCTTGAAGCTTTTGTTTCCTACTTGTAGAGTGTAAGGGTCCGACTTTTACATGCGCATGGATCTGCTTTGAAAATGTTGAGATTCTTTTTATTTTTTTTCACTCCTAGAGCTTTTTCTAGAAAACAATTGAAATGCACATTAAAATGCAATTTTCATTTGGCTTGTTCTGTACAAACGTGGCACTGCCTTCTAGATTCAGCTTTTAACCAGGGACACAATTAGCCTTTATAAAGTCTTCATTTAATTTCAAGAGAAGCGTTAGGCATTGCACCCAGAGTGGTACTGCCCAGTGACAGCCAGTGAAGTTGGAGCTGGAATTGCACCCGGTGAGGTCAATGCCGAAAGAGCCTGTTCCATCCATGTTCCCATTCGCTGATTCGTGTGATGGGTCGTGCACGGCAGGGGCTGCTCTGTGGAGGGCTGATCATCTTCTCTCCACAGATGGCAGCCCCTCTTTTCTGAGACTGGTGCACCATGTCTCGCATTCCAGAGGGAAGCGGAGAGACTGCTCCGTGTCTCGAATCTGGAAGAGGTACCTCACCCTCCAGAGACGATGTTCTCTCTTCTCCAGATTTCCCCTCCCCCTGTGAAAAACATGTTGCCATCCCGTGGCAGGTGAAGATGTGACGGAGTCTTCCAAGGAACAGAATGAGTTCAAGCTTGGGATGTGATGGCTGGTAGGCTACTGGCAGGCAGGGTGACACAGGTGGTTGAGAAAGGACATTGACCAGAGCAGGTGAGGGGTCAGAGGTCACCCCACGGGTGGCATTGCTTGCTTGCTCCAGCAGTCTTGAGGAACACTGGCGGCCACACTAGGGGATGCTGTGTCCTTGTTCCCCATCCAGTTTCCACGCCATCCCGGGGTGTGGTTCTGCTTGCCACCATGTGCAGCTCAGATTCGAGTGTTGCATTTCTAGATTGCTCCCTCTGGATCTGTTGCCACTCGCTGTTTGAGTCACAGTGAGGTGGTACCTGGCAGTGTACGGTCTTCCCTACTCTAAGATGAAACTCCGGTCACCTTTGCAATGTAGCTCCTCTAAAGAACTTCGCACGCTAATGACCCAAACTTTCATTTCTAGTTGAGTTTCTTCAACTGAAAGGGAGGATTTGACCTGGATAAAGGCTACAGAACCTCCTGGTGTTGACAGAGAAGAAAATGAAAACCCAAAGTTAGTACTTACCAGGACCTCGCTTGCCTGGAGAGGGTGGGCTAAGACAGGGCACGGGCGGGGCGACTCATCTCTGTCAGCCTCCTTTGTCCCCACTGAGAGCTTCTCTACTCCCCCTTTGGCTCAGAATGTCAGCTAGAGAGCTAATTAAGTTCTCCAGAGGCTCCTTATGGGGCAGAGGATGCCCCCCCCCCGCACCCCGCCGTGAACAGCACACACAGTAGCTACTGAAATCGGCTCTCCTCATCTTGGCTGGGACAGGGGAAGGGGGCAGGAGGGAACCGTCAAGACCAGCAATTTGAATACAGAGCTTTTAGGTAAAATCTCATCTTACAAACCCAAAGAAAGGTCATTTGTCTCAGCTTGAGGTCAGAGAGAGACAATATCCACACGGCAGAAACTGCCTCTGGGTGTCTCAGTCAAAAGAGGAAAGTGGGGGTTCAAGGCTTGGAGCATCTTCCCTTGAGAGTGCCCAGGCGCTGTGCATTTTTCCTCCTGAGTGTGCAGGTGCATGTTAGACCCCTGGGTTCCTCTGTCCTCACCATCAAACATTTACCCATCTACCCTTCCGCCTGCTGCTGTTTTAGGCCCTGGTGGGGGCAAGGGGCCTGCCCTCCAGCCCCTTCACCTGTATAACACTGAGGTGGGAGGGCTGGTCGCAGCCAAGGGGCCCAGGGAAGAACAGAGGTCATCACAGCCCATGTCAGATCTTAGGGTCCCTGTTTTTGGCTTTTCCAGTTGTCCACTGTTCAAAAAGTACAAACGGACTGAAAATTCCTGCACAGGTGCAAAGTACGATATTAGTCCAGTGACTGTCCGCTCACGCTTTCATCCTGCCACTAAAGAGATGGTCGACATGAGAGGCTGGTCCACTCCTTGGCCTTGAGGCGCTTGCATCCAAGCTGACCTGCCGGCCGACCTTCCCCACACCAGTCGGGAACACCTGCCCTGCCCTTGATGGTCTAAGCTTCCCAGGGCAGCACTCATGGGCCATCTCAGATCAAGGGCACTGATGTCTGTGCACTTGTGTATCTCTACATGCATGTATACATACATGTATGCACACATCTGTGCACATGTGCAGACCTGCCTAGGCGCATGACTGATGGTGTTATTGTCTGACTTTTCCTTCACACCGGTAGCATACCAGCCTTTAGGTCCTTCCCCGCCACCTTCATTCACCCCGTGCCCGTGGCACAGGGGATGAAAGTCCTGTGGGAACCCAACGAGGCTCTTGTCAAATGCCAGCTAGATTAGCCTGTGACAAAAGTCAAACGACCCAGCTGGGCAGATCGAGGAACAGAGTGTGTGAACATAAAGCTAGATGCTTGGAAGAAATAAAGCCTGCTAATAAACACTTTATATAGTTTTTACGTGCATTCCGTGTAAGTGTTCCAAGTGACTTGTTTTCGTTTCGCTTCTACTGCGTCCAGAAGATGCATGTTGTTCAGCTGGTGAGGGGCGGAGTCATTCAAACATGAAGGTGCTGCCACCCCAGCCCCACCCCTCAGCTCTGCCTGTGGCTCCTCAGGGCTGTCAAAGTGGCCTCCACGCCCCAGGTTCCAGGGCAGTTCCAGCAGGGGTGCCCTGCTCAGGGCTTTGCTTCTATGGAGATAGATTCCTTCCTTCCTTCCTCCTTCCTTCCTTCCTTCCTCCTTCCTTCCTTCCTCCTTCCTTCCTTCCTCCTTCCTTCCTTCCTCCTTCCTTCCTTCCTCCTTCCTTCCTTCCTCCTTCCTTCCTTCCTCCTTCCTTCCTTCCTCCTTCCTTCCTTCCTCCTTCCTTCCTTCCTCCTTCCTTCCTTCCTCCTTCCTTCCTTCCTCCTTCCTTCCTTCCTCCTTCCTTCCTTCCTCCTTCCTTCCTTCCTCCTTCCTTCCTTCCTCCTTCCTTCCTTCCTCCTTCCTTCCTTCCTCCTTCCTTCCTTCCTCCTTCCTTCCTTCCTCCTTCCTTCCTTCCTCCTTCCTTCCTTCCTCCTTCCTTCCTTCCTCCTTCCTTCCTTCCTCCTTCCTTCCTTCCTCCTTCCTTCCTTCCTCCTTCCTTCCTTCCTCCTTCCTTCCTTCCTCCTTCCTTCCTTCCTCCTTCCTTCCTTCCTCCTTCCTTCCTTCCTCCTTCCTTCCTTCCTCCTTCCTTCCTTCCTCCTTCCTTCCTTCCTCCTTCCTTCCTTCCTCCTTCCTTCCTTCCTCCTTCCTTCCTTCCTCCTTCCTTCCTTCCTCCTTCCTTCCTTCCTCCTTCCTTCCTTCCTCCTTCCTTCCTTCCTCCTTCCTTCCTTCCTCCTTCCTTCCTTCCTCCTTCCTTCCTTCCTCCTTCCTTCCTTCCTCCTTCCTTCCTTCCTTCCTTCCTTCCTCCCTCCCTCCCTCCCTCCCTCCCTCCCTCCTTTCCTTCCCTTCTCCCCGTAGCCCCAGCTGGCCTGAACTCACTGTGTAGACCAGGCCAGCCTCAATCACACATGAATTTGCCTGCCTCTGCCTCTCAAGCACTTGGATTAAAGATGTGTGCCACCATGGTGCCCTGCCTATGTCAGATTTCTTAGGCTCTGCAGAGCAGCTGCTAGCCAGACAACTCTCATGCCAATGTGAGCAGCACTGGGAGCCCTGTCAGGTCTGCATTAGCTCCGGGCTCTCCAAACCTGGCTGTGTGGCATGCTCGAATGACTACTACGTTCAGCAGTAGCTAAAGGCTGAGCTTTCAAACTACACAGAGGGGAGAATTGGACAGGCAGGTCACAGAAGTCACATGCTGATGGCTCTGTGGCTTGGAAGGAAGGGTGGCAGGTGGGTACTGTGAGTGAGGGCATGGGCACACTCCCCTGTTCATGAGCTTCTCATCTCCCTGTGTCCTCTCCTCAGGCTACCCGCCCCCCCTGGGGCCACTGTACTGGTGGCCCTTCTGTAGTGATGCGGCTTCCCATGACCCCACTGGGACCACCTTTCTTTAGAAAAGGGTTCTTTACAAGCCCCTTTGAACCCAGAAATAAATGTTAGACAGATATGGCCTGATCAAGGATGACCATGGATAACTGAGTCTGTGGACAGGGTGAACCAAGGTACCTAAGATCCCATAAGGGAATGACACGCTTCTCCTGCTGTGTGTCTTGAGTTCCTGATGACCGTTCTGTGCCCTTCCCCTTCCTGTTTCCATCCTAGAGAAAACAGGGTTTGGCTGGAGTCCCTTTCCCAGGCCAACGTGCAGCCTCCCTCTAGCGGATATTGGCATCTTTTCCAGTGTTCTTGAGGCCAGTGGGGAAACCTGTTCTGTGTGAAATGTGCATGATGGATTCCAGGCAGCACAGGCCAGGGTTGGGCCCTGATGCCTCTGTGTCCTCACAGCTTTGCCCTGGCATCAAAGGGAGACAACAATCCAATCACACGTCTCTCCCATCCTGGCCGTCAGTGGGTACGGTACTGAGCTCCTCCAGCTTGGATGACCACCACAAAGCAGAGAGGCAGGGAAGGAGGCAGAGAAGCACCCAGTGGGGCCACGTGGGGCCACACACAGCCCAGTGGGGCCACACACACACCCTGCTCTGCAAGGCTATGGGTGTCAAGGAGGCAGTGATGCTTTCTGGGGCTCTTCCACAGCTGGGAGCTGAACTTATCCAAGATGCTTTCTTTTTCAAAGCCACTCTCCACCACCTCGGTCAGAACCACAGACGTGGCTCCGGGGTCATATCTCTGTGGCTCATGGCTACAAGGGCCCATGCTTGGTTCTCCATGAGCAGTCCTTGCTGTGGGTATGTGTTGGCTCTTTGCCCTGCCCCTCCCCATGCAGCGGTGGCCCCCAGCCTTCCTCCTGACAGCTCTGAGAGAGATGCAAGCAATAATTTTCTGAATGGAAGTGTGCTCTCGTCGGGGGGGGGGGAACCACAGGCTCACCCATCTTTGGGATGTCACCAACATGATCTCTCCTCTTAGGGGACCCAACTGTCAACCCTGTGCTAGGTAAACTGTCGAGTTAGAAATGCCTGAGTGTGTTGACCATCCCATATTCCTGCGGG